GGTGCCTATTTACTTGTGACCACGCTGTGTATATCTTCTTATACCCATTTTCTCTACATTTTTATGCTTCAAATTGTTTTGCTATCACTGTGAGTCCATGACCTTGTTTGTTACGAGGTCCCTAATGACATATGAGCCACACACAAAAATACCGTCGCCACTGTAATTAATCCCACTATTTATAGATGGAGTCTCCTTTGTATTATACCTAGAAAATGACTGATTTCACCCATTGTTGTTGATCGGTTTTTAAACTGAGTTTTGAAACAGGCAAAAAACATAATATTTCTCAACGTGATGCAGTATATGAACCTCACCTGTAGTGAACAGTATGTAAACAAGTTGATAACGTGAGGGTTAAAACTAATTTTTTGTTCTTGTTGTTGACAGGTTTCCTGTTTCACTGCTTTCCTTGTCTGGTCTTATGGCATTGCGTTAATGGTTTCTTTGGCATTCGAGGTCCCGATGATGGGTTTAGAAAAGCTGATACTAAAACGTGGCTCTCGCCAAACACGGTGAGAACTTCAGATGAATGACATACCTTTTCACCAACTTAACTGTATGTTCGAACAACACCGGAAAGAGCTGTGATCACCAAAAGGGTTAACTGTTCTTGCTGCAAATCACATAAAATATCCTCAGTAACAATTATCAGTTATAAAATATATATAATTAAAGTAAATTGATTTGTAATTTGCATGATATGTCAAATTAATGTAATTAGAAATAAATGAATGATACATAAATAAGATTAGGTTATTTTTGTTTTTGACATGTGGCAAATGACGTCAATTTTTGTGAAATATCTTCAACAGCGCAACATTTCCATTTCGCAAAACATGAAACATGAGTGCTTACGATTCACGTCCTGTTTAGTACTATAAATTGAAATGCAAGATATTAGAATATAAGATTAAATGTTTCTATCATATGATAGACACAAAGCAATCTTTCTAAGTACAAATTTTCAAACCTACCGCTGTGCCAGAGGGAGCTACAGCTGTAAATCTGAGGGCTTAAAATACTAAAAATTGGGTCTCGATACCTCGATGGGCAAAGCACAGATAGCCCATTGTGTATATTTTCTTCGCTTAACAACAAACAAGCAATGAAAACTATATATAAATGAGTACTAAGATCTATTTATAAATTGGGATATTAATTTCTTTGTGTGGTCAAGACAATATTTTATAAGATTTGATTTTTTTAATCTCTTCAGTATTTTTCTACTGCGGTTACATACCTTAATAATATGACTACTTTTTATTACAGACAAGTCCCTCCCTCCTCCAATGGCGCAGCGGTGAGTCTGAGGGATTATAATACTCAAATTTGGGTTATACTCACAGCACGGATAGCCCATTGTGTAGCTTCGTGCTTAACAGCACACACACACACACAGAAACAAAAACTTTTGAAATATAAAAGAATGATACTTTTTTTCTTTTAGTTTTTTTTTTCCTTTTTGTCTCAATAGCTGAAATTTTTATCATTTCATCAAATATATATCCAGATTTAGAAAGTGTACAGAGGTGCCTGGACTTCACTGAAGTTTGTTAAAATACTCGCTTTCCGAATTTTACCATTTTAGGAATAGAGGTATTTTAGCATAGAAGTTTTTCTTCTTAATGTGCCTGTTTTTTACAGGTCATCCAACAATTGTTTATTCTCTTCTATAAAAGTCATTGTTTTTGAAATTGAAAGAAACACCTACATTACCAATCTTCATACAGTTAATATGTGGGTCGGTTGTCCAAAGGTCGAAAGATACTGTAAACATAAGATAGTAAACGGCAACTCCTATTAATGGATGAAACATGTGCACGAGATTATCATATCATTCGGTACCGATCACGAGAGGACATTGATTGTTTGTTGGTGAGCGCAAACCTTCACAGTAGATTACAGCTTTATAACCTATCAAGTTTACCGCTGCGCCACCTAAAAAATAGGCATTGATAACTGTATTAACCACAACATTTCATATCGTTTAACGTTCTACTAAAGTGTTAAGTTTTTGGCAAGAATCGACTCAAGAGTGGGCGAAAATCCCACAATCTAAAATTGACGAGATAATTCTCACGATGCCCCAAACGATCAACGAACTCCACGAAGCGAAAGGAAGATCTACTAGATATTAATTAAATTATAAATACATCAATTCATGCGAATATGACTGAAAAATTTCATTTTTTCTGAAAAGGTGGTGTCTATTTACTTGTGACCACGCTGTGTACATAAGTGTCAAACTAAATTGGTTTCTAAAGGGCATACAATGCTTCAGTCTTTAAACTAACGTCTAGTGGCTAATTCATCTTACATCGTATGATAAAATACACTGACCGGTCATTTACACACGTGACGAACGCTTGCAAGTGTAAAAAAGATTAATCGTATAACAGCTTGACCTTTATAAATACAGTAACGTTACATGTTGTCTGCTAAACGATGTGGAATGGTGATAATTTGTAAGATAAAATGGTATTCATCTAGCAGGAGTGTTGTTATTATACTATTTCTGTGCTTGGCTGTTCACAGCCGTCTTTCATTAGTCTATCAAGAATGACAATGGACAAGTAAACCATTTCTAGTTCCATTCAAAGTGATCACGATACAACTATCTTTATCCATACTATACGAACGATATTACAAAAAAAATATATCATATGGTGGCTGACAACCAGTCCGAACACTGATGATAATCTCAGATTCAAATAGGGTAATACATCTACTATTAGTTCGAACTCAAACTGTTGTCGAGAAATTAACAGAACTACAAGAAGTAGTTTGGTGAATCATTTTACACATTTTTCAGCACAAGTACTAAACCAAAAGTATGAAAAGTATCACATGTGGTACTTGATCCTACTTGTGATATTTCAAGTGTATGAGCTGTTGTAATGGTATGACAAAACATAGGAGGAGTTCTTTATGATAGGTTTTACACTGATGACTAAGTATTGCTCCAAGATAACAAAATATTTCACATGTTTGTGGCAAGTCTACTAAGACTATTTGCCGCCGTCCCTAATTTCTTGCATTCTGTTACTTATGCTAAGGGAATAATTGTCACTCTGATAACGCACTCAAAACGTAAAGTACGGAAAATATTATATGACATCGCACCGATTCAAACCCGGCTCGCCAGCTTAGTAATGCAAAGCCCTACCACAAGGTAGCAGGACTTTAGTTAGTATAAACACCGGATTTGTCCAATTGAGTAACTTTGAGATGAACAGTGAATTTGCAACAGCATTCTTCTTCCGACATCTGTGAAATAATTTCTGTCCACTTAGACCAGGCTTCTACAGAACAAGAGGCATTCAAGTATCTTGAAAACCTTACGCCACGATGAACAGAACAGATATCAAAAGAAAAGGTGATTCAATCGGATATTAGTGAGTGTGTGAGGAGGAGATTCCTAATAAAGTGGATAGTTCGTGTAGGTCTTACATTTTAACTTGAATATTTACAAGGTTTCTGTAATTCGCCAACATCATACACACACGAGAGCTAGTTCTAATTAGTATTTATTAGTTGAAATTTACCAATATTGGTACTAAGCTTAAGTTTTCCGGTTCAACATTATTGAAATTATTACTAAACGTACATAAAGCAATAGGCTTTGATAATGATTTTCGGATATGTGTAATTACTGTAACTTTTTTCATTCGTTTCCAAAATAACTTTCAAACAACGATTTCTATAACTACCACACTTTATTATCTTGTATTTAATAATCAAAACATAATAACTGATAGGTGTTTTAGCCAAACTGAAAATCTTATCCTTGAACATCTTTTTCTTCTTATTATTGGTAATTAAAGGAGTTCCATAACGAATGGTTAACTGAGCACTTTTTTTTTGTGTGTAGCAACGGATCGCGAACCACAAATTCTTGGATTCACAGACTGGGTACAATAAGTACTTGATTTACGCCCGTCCTTCCGATAACAGACCTCGGGATTTGGGCTGTCTGCTATTTTAGCTCACCATTTTGCTTCATTTGTTATGAAAAATATTTACGAGTATAATTTTTGGAAGGTTTGTTGTGATGTAGAGTAACCCAAATCCACATAAAGAATTTTTTTTTCTTTAATAAACATCGTAAGAAAAATGAAGGACGCACATTTTCAAAGTTGATGCATTGCCCGGAATACCCTGAAACGACAGACATTATGCTACTTTATTGTGTTAACGAATTATTTTTTGAGCAGATTATGGATATTTTAAACAAGTACTGGATAAAAAGGATAACCAACTGTACTAAAACGTTAGTTACATTAAGCCGGTATTAAGTAATACAGAAAGAGAAATACTAAGTTCATGAAAGGAGATGACAAATAAACTGAACCTTTTCCTAGTCTGTTAACCTGTCATCAAGCGACGTGAGAAATTATAAAAGATGGCGAATTTCTTTCTTTTTATTTTGCCAGACGAAGGCGACGACCTCTGGCAGAGATTTAAGCAAAGAGTCAAAGACGGAAAGATATAAGAAAGATGAAGGAACGTACCAAAATCGTTCAGACGAAAATTATCATGGGATGAGTAAATGCACGTTAATGTACATGTATCAATATTATTCATTCTAATTTGTACATGCCTTTATTTCATCAGCGATTACAAGTCTTCAACTACAACAAAGTATAATTATTTATCCAAAATCACAGTCGATGTGTTAGATAACTTGTATTGGGTGTTGGATTTAATGGTTTTCTTTTCCAGTATTTCATTGAACAATAATGACTATGAAAATAAACAAAACCACCCCCATTACCCGTAATTATAAAAGATTTTATTTAAATTTATTGTAAATTATAGGAGTGAGTTGTACGAAAGATGCTAATTAGGAAAGTGTAAAAACATGTTAACTTTCATGTAAAGTATATAACTGACGAAACTGCATACACACTATTGAACTTCAAAGTTGCTAAAATAATAGACGATCTATATAATGGATAAAGAAGTCATTAAAAACAATTTCAAAATGACTATTTTTGTTGCTCCAAATAACGTAATTTTAAATGTTTACCTTCACAAAGGTAACCATCAGCATAAATAAATATGTATTAGTTAGAATAAATAAGCATTGAACCTGGTAGTGTTCCACAAATTTTAGTGTTCTGGCAAAAATCAATGTCAGTAACTATTTCTTAATTTCGTGAATTCTCCAGATTAAAGGAAGTGCGAAATATTTATTGGAATTGAATTTAACTACTTAGAAATTTAAGAAGAGGAAATTTTCTAAATAATACGTGCAGAATACAGCTGGATATTTGAGAAACAATAACAAAAAACTAAATGAAATTACAAACTTAATGTTTTTTATATTTGACATTAAAAAGTAAAATAACTCTCAATATCTGTTATTTATTTAATAGTTAATGACAACTGAGCATTAATCTTTTATAAACATTTTCTAAGTTTCAAGTAATGTGACTATACAGCATCCAGAATAAAACATCATCAACATGAAATCATCCAAAGAAGAGTTAAATGAAACTTCAAATATATTGTATTAAAAGTTGAATGTGGAAAACTTAAAACACAACAACAAATATCAAAAAAGATTATACACTAACTACAGGGTGCTATGTCCATAAAAACTGAGATTTCAAATACATAAAAACACTTTGTAATAAATTAGGTTTAAAAAACATTTCTGAAGAATTTGGTATGATTTTTTTAAACTTAACTTACTTAGGATCAGGATTAAGCTAAATGAAATTACACATACAACTTTTACCAAAAACAGTGTTTTTCAACCATGTATAATGTCATGTATGGTTCTCAGTACTACTATTTAAAATATGTATGAAAACAAATGTTAAAATATAGAATTTTAACTTGTACTTATACAACAAGAATATTCTTGTGTAAGACAAATGATAAGAATATATGCTGATATCTGTTGGTATATTAGAGACATTCATATTATAAAAAAGCCATGATAATTAGGCCTATGTAAAGAACTTCAAAAACTAGAACAGCTTAGCTTATGGATATTTTATATTATTAAAATCCCTTTCAATTTTTTTAAACAAAATATAGTTTTACTGTAACAAATAGACATTTTAAGTTTATGCATGTTGTCCATATGTAACTTTAAAATTGTATAATTATAATGAAATTCCTGTAAAATAACAGGAAAAGATATCTGAATTTCTAGTTTTATTTAGGTTTACCAATACTATACAGTATTATATCAATTAATTTCAGATCTACTTTGTAGTAACTATTGTAATTATTTTAAGTCTTAATAATGTAGAAAATCTTAACTTCTAAATTCAAACAGTAAACTTACTAGTTTCCACTACATATATCTGATGACAATAATTTGCTTAGTCTTTATAAAACTACAATATTCTTCATTTAAAGTTGTACTACTTAGAATATTTCAATGTTATTGTTTTTCATACACCTAACACAGTATTAAAAGTACAACAAACAAATACCATCAATATTTTACCAAACAATTGGTCCTCTATAGTACTAAATACACGTAAAAGGTTGTCTCTCTTACACAAATCCTGGTAGTAGTCAATACGTTCTGTTTAAGGTGGCTCTCATACACAAACCCTGGTACAAATCAATAGTTCTGCTTAAGGTGGCTCTCTTACACAAACCCTGGTACAAATCAATAAGTTCTGCTTAAGGTGGCTCTCTTACACAAACCCTGGTACAAATCAATATGTTCTGTTTAAGGTGGCTCTCTTACACAAACCCTGGTACAAATCAATAAGTTCTGCTTAAGGTGGCTCTCTGACACAAACCCTGGTACAAATCAATACATTCTGCTTAAGGTGGCTCTCTTACACAAACCCTGGTACAAATCAGTATGTTCTGTTTAAGGTGGCTCTCTTACACAAACCCTGGTACAAACATATAAGTTCTGCTTAAGGTGGCTCTCTTACACAAACCCTGGTACAAACATATAAGTTCTGCTTAAGGTGGCTCTCTTACACAAACCCTGGTACAAACATATATGTTCTGTTTAAGGTGGCTCTCTTACACAAACCCTGGTACAAATCAATATGTTCTGTTTAAGGTGGCTCTCTTACACAAACCCTGGTACAAATCAGTATGTTCTGTTTAAGGTGGCTCTCTTACACAAACCCTGGTACAAATCAATACATTCTGCTTAAGGTGGCTCTCTTACACAAACCCTGGTACAAACATATAAGTTCTGTTTAAGGTGGCTCTCTTATATAAACCCTAGTACTAACTGATAAGTTCTGTTTAAAGTGTCTTTCTATCTTACACAAACCCTGGTAGTAATCAACACAATCTGCTTAAGGTGGCTCTCTCACATAAAACTCTGGTATTAATCGATAAGTTCTGTTTAAATGAACAAAGCCACTGGAAAAGATTTTGATACAAACTTTCACATTAGAAATATGAAGATAAACAACAAAGGACATACAAGCAAGTACTTTGTCTTCTACAGAAATATCAGAGCTATCAATTTTTGAGAGACAGTTTTTAAGTGCTCAAAATATCAGATTCCAGTATGTGCTTTTCAGCTTCCCTTAGGTCATTTAGAATATGGCTTGCATTAACAAATTTTAGTTGCTCCGATGAGAGGCTATTTTTTTTGGTCAAGAGCAGGGCATTCCAACCAGAATTCTTGGCTCCTAGATAGTCATCCTCCAAGTCATCTCCTATATGAACAGCTTGGTCTGGTGAAATCTTTAAGTGCTTGACATGCTCCAAGGCCAAATCAAAGATCTTCCGACTGGGCTTCTTGACCTTTACTGAATAAGAGTCAATAACAAAATCAAAATTGTGTAGAAGACCCACTTCACTCAAGATGCCTTGTAAGCGGTTGTCAAAGTTGGAAATAATACCAAGTTGTATATTTGCCTTTGCAAGGTTCTGCAAGAGTGTGTGTGTTCCACGCTGAATCTCCCAACAGGCTTTTGTACTATATGCTTTAAACAAGTGGCGAGATAAAGTCTGAAGTTGTGTTTGATTCAAATAATCATATCCAGCATCATGAAATGTTTTTCCTACCATATTAGTCCACCAAGTCTGTGGTTCAATTCCTGAAGTGGCTCCAAAGTTTGGATGTTGTTTATTCAAAATCTTCCACTGTCTTTTGAATGCTGCATTCAGCTGAGCTGCATCACTCTGAATACCATAAAGATTTGATGTTTGGGAGTACTCTTCTCCAATTGGAATTTTAAATTTAAGCAATGTGTTGGTAACATCAAAAGTTGCAAGTCTAATTCGTTTCATCATTTTCCCTGTAATAATTGTCACATTTATATTTATGGAATGTTACGCCAAATCTTTATGTTATTATTACAAATATATATATATATATATTTTTCAAGGTTTTAAAAAAATAATGCAACCATTTATCTTTTGTATCTTTTCTGACATTATGAAATGTTAAATATATTCTGAATATTCTTATAACTACATATTTAAAAATATTACAAATAAAATAATCCCTATGACTAAAAATTGGAGTTACCACCATATTCCATTAGTCAGCATTCAATGTTCATGTTGCCTCATCCTTGATTATTTCATTTCATTCACCTTTTCATTAATATAAATTATTCTTGCATTTTTAAATAAATTGTGTGTGTCAGAGACACACTGCTGATTCAAAGATCTGACTGGAGTACATGGCATAAAAAGATTGCAAACCACTATTATAAAACATATTTATATTAAACTATTCTGAAGTATTAAGTGCTCATAAATACTAGTCCTAGCACAATGTTAACATATAATAAAAATAATGAATTACCTTTTCTTCGTTATTTAAATCCTAACATTGGTTTTGTAGAACTTAAAATTTAGCACTGGTAGTTGAAGTGTTTATATTACCATATTTATGATTTTCAAACAATATACATAAATCTTCTGTCACAAGTAATAATTCATTAAATGTTCTAAATTCAATATTTAGTAGAAACCACTCTATATCTGTATAACATAATTCTACCATAATCAACCAAAGAGCATAGCAATGAATTTTTACTATCTATTTTGTAACACAATCACATTTCTTTTAAATTAAGAAACCATTGCTCCCTTTCTTATACTCCATAAAATTATACAGTCAAATAATATGAAATGTTACATGCTTTATTTCCAGTACACTGAACAAGAGAGACTTTGGATGATTCAATTAATGACATATATTCTTTTGCTAGTACCATTATCTTTGTTATTGGTATCTATACAAATTAGTTGGACAATGTAGATGTAAGATAAGCATTTAAAAAATCATTTTGTTGACTGTTACCTGTATCGTGCAACCAGTAGATGATAATATTTTTCTCATGAATTATGGTATGAAGTAAAGATTACCATACTTGTTCCTAAAATGTAGATTCTTTCATATTTTAAGAACATGGTTGACAAGATGTTAAGTGCACATATGAAAAAGTAAGATTACAAAATGTCAATCAGCCAAGTAAGGTTACCTCTCCATCTGCCACAATATTAAAACTAAACTATATTTTGAACAGAAGTTAATGCATCTTTGCATGTATGTAATGAACTTTGAAGTATATTTGTTTCAAATGCAATCAACCAGGTTTTATTAGCCTGTGTATTTCAGATCAGGCAAAAGTTATTGTCCACATCTTTGCATGTATGTAATGAACTCTGAAGCATATTTGTTTCAAATGCAATCAACCAGGTTTTATTAGCCTGGGTATTTCAGATCAGGCAAAAGTTACTGTCCACATACCAAAGGAAGTGATAAAAAATACAAAAAACATGCTTATCCAGAAAACAAGATCAACCTTACATATAGATAGACAAAGACTTCCAAAAAAAGAGATGATACTGCTAGGTGAACATGTTGAAATAGTGACAACCTCTCAAAATAATTTTTACATTTGTATTTCATTCAATTTCCCTAAACAGGTTATGGGTAAGTCATTACAGGCAAGTGAAATAAATGGATGGATATACATTGAAATGTAACTGAAAGAAAAACTATAAGCTAGATGTATGGTACTGTTGAAATAACAAAGAAGATGCTGAACAGAAGAACTGACAAAGAAAATCATGGATGTGTAGATATAGATATAAAGGTTAAATAGGATTTATAAAAGTAATATTAACTGAAAGATAAGTGAATGATAAAAGGATCAGAGTGATTGAAAGACAAATTACATGTAACTGATAAAAACAAACAAATGAACAAATTTGCATCATAAAACAGACATTAATAAGACCACCCATATTTGTCCACAGCATAGTGGGACAACAGTTATAGATTGAGATGCTGCTGGGTTCAACTAATATTTAAGACATAAATCCATATTACTGTAACTTTTAGCCACTGGTATGTAACTATACTATTAAAATTCTAGGTGTTCTGTAATTATGCACTGAAAATAAATACATATATACACATAATTTAAGGACAACAAGAGAGCTGTTGATCCATCTGGGCTAATCCATTAAAGTAAACTTTAAGAGTAAAATACTCAAACCCAGTTCTTATCACTCAATTGAACTTTTTCTTTAAACTCCATTAAATTAATTTCAATGCCCTTCCTAAGGTGAGGCACCTAAGACTAAAAACAATACTTCAAATATGGCCTAGCCAATGATCTATTCAACGAAATTATTACTTTTTTAGGTTTGTATTCAATATTTCTGTATATAAAACCTAAAATCCTATTTGCCCTGCCACTAGCAACAACACATTGCTTGGATGGCTTATGAGACTGATCAACTACAACACTACAATACTTTTCTTACACATTACATATTAATCTCTCTTGTCAAATAAAACTTACTGTTAAGTACAAGCTTTTTAGCAACAAGCTAAATATCAAAGTAGGTTATCCAGTTCTCACGAGTGATCTAACACCAACATTCTGTCAGGATTCAAGTTATAAGCATATAACTACACCCTTGCTAATATTTACTTATTTTAACTGAAAAACTTATCCATCCAAAGAGATCAGGTTATGAACAAAGTTAAACAGGGACAGGTGAAAAGACTACATTTGCCATGCTATGGAGAAGATCTGTACACTACTGTTACTTCATCATACCTTCTGACTTATAACAGTTGGACAATGGTTTATGTTACTAACTTTGAACCTACAGGGTGTTTGTACATCTTCCTTCATTTGTTTGATGACATAAATACACTGTATATTCTATTCTGCCTGATGGTCCTCTCAAAAAAGTCTTGGACTTATTTTCTTCAAAGTGTTAAATAACTGATTCAGAACTTTAAAACTGACAAGAACTTAAATAAACTACCCATTTTAAAAGAACAGTAAAATAAAATGCTGGAGTTGCAAATTTGAATATTAGGAATGAGAAGCATAAGGTATACTCTAAAAATTTAGAATCAAGTTTGTTCACTATAACAACTTTTTCTCTGTGAGATTTATAAACAAGTACTATTGTTTACCTGATGAAGCAATGTTACCTATAAATGTGTTCAAATCAATTATTATTAAGTATATTTAGTTTTGGATGGTTGTATTGGTAGGTAGAGGGGTAACCTTATTGAGCTAAATCACTTTCCATCACATTGCACATTCTTATGTTCACAGGGCCAAATATATTTCTTTATGTATGTATAAACTATATGAATGTCCAAACTAATATTGATAAATTTAATGTGAAGCTGAATATACTAGACAGGAGTGCTTACAAATTTAATTAGTATAATAAATTATTCAGTTTAATGAATATGACTACTCAAAGTTTACAATATAATTAGGAACACCAAATGAAATACATAACAAATATAAAGTGAAAATAGAAAACTGTGAAAATACCAATAAGAATTAATGAATGAAGAATTAGTTAAAATTTTAGTTGGTTGTTGATAATTAGACCAAATATTTCAAACCCAAAATTATGGGCAGATTCATTTATTTTACAAATTGGCTCCAGTAACTTTATAGCTCACTATTAATATTATAGTTTTGATCTTGAAACAGTAAGTGAGACAGTATATCTTATAATTAGTGTGAGAAATGTGTGTGTTAAGTGAAATGAAAAACAAGGGAGAAAATTTAAATTTGAATAAGGCAATAAGCTTAACTTGTAGAAGTCTAGAATGCAGATTGGTTCTTACATAAAATTTTAAATGATAAAACAACTCCTACGATGTTGTATTAATGTTTTTTTCTATCTGAATTATTTTAAACTTTCTGTTGAAAGGTGCATGAATGTAAAGGACTATAATTGGTTAGTTGTATTTAGTGGTAGAAGTCATCTTACTTGGCTAACTAGCCTTCTATAACCTTGCCTATTTATTGCTTATAGTTATACCTACTTTTAAATATATCAAAAAAAACATTTGAAGTAAGATACAAAACAATGTTTGTGATAAACAAATTATGTAGTAGTAGTACTAGTTGATCCAAGTAAAACATTTTATACTTATACAATTATCCAACAAAAGGGTAAAACATGCTAATATATCAACTGTTCATAAATCAAACAAAAAAAAACATCATCATCAAAATAGCAAGAACACTCATTTCTGCCTAAGATGATTTAATAAAAGTTCAACAATGTTCAACTTCAATTATTCAAGTTCTAGTGTCATGAGTAATAATACTTATAACTTATAATAATACCGACACAGTACATTTGTATTACAAATTTGTCAATTTGTATGAGAAAAAATAATTATAAAAACCCTCACCAATATTTCAAATCTAACAACTCAACATATACTATAAAAAATTAAATGGTGGGTCTTAAGTTTTATAACTATTTATATTCATATTGATACATCATAATTTTTAAATTTCAACAACCGACAAACATAATACGTTTCACTTTTAGGTGGTAACTGCTTTGACACGCAAGTGAAAACAATATACAGTACTTTTACTTACCACTTAATAGAAGGATATAGCTCTCTTGGAATATTTTAAATTAATAATTTTGTAATGCAAGATCATGCATAACTATTACATATTATAAAAATAAACACTACCTTAATATGGGCAAAAAATGTCTATCTCTTTTTTTTGAAAGTAGATTTTTGTAAAAATATCTTATATGAAAAAAGTTTAGTACACCATTGCATAGCTCTTAAATGAAAAAAAAAAGAAGATAAAATTAAGCAAATTGAGTGCACACACAATTTTGCAATTATTGATGTGCAATGATATAATGTACTTCTTTATTTTCCAGCTAATGATGCACATATAATGTATAGTTCTGAACATGGTTTATTCCATTTTCACCCTGATGTACGATAAAAAAAAGGCACATGTATATAATCTGTACACGAATTACAGTAATTCAAGCCCCCAGTTTAATGTGTTTTTCTACTTTCTGAGTAACTACACAGCAGTTATCTTCATTCTAACTTTGCCCCGGTAAGTATGATGGTTCATAATGTTAAAAAATTATTTCAAGATAGTCTATTGTGTAGCTTTGCTTAACAGTAAATAAAAAAAATTCAACTCTAGTAAACGAAGGTGACGACTCTGTTCATTAATTATACTCACTGTGACGCTTTAAGTTTAACTATGATTCACGAATCAAAGGTCCCAGTGTTAATGATACTATTTTTCTTATATGTATACATGTTTGTAGTTGTACCGTATTGTATCTTTGGGTGGGTTCTTTTGGATTTTCTAGTAAAAATAATGCCAAGTCCAATCCACCTCACAACAACGAATTAATATATTTCTTCAATAACGTTTGCTACAGGCTGCATTGACGCCACAGTAGGCCTAAGTTCACAAACACCATTTCAAGACAAATTATGAAACTACTGTAGGCCTAATAATGTTGAACTGAAATTTACTCTCGATTGATAAAAAAAACCAACGTACTTATTAATTTTACTCGATAAATCTTCTCTCGAAAAACAGCTACTCGATCTTTCACAAACTGAATACTTCACTGAACTCTCAGTTACTACTCAACGAATACTTTACAGAATTAACTGCCTACTCATGTTCAAAACTAATCTACCCACATCTATATGTTTGTCTACATTTTTAGACCTTAACTCATGCGCCTTCTAGCTAGAATCCAAATTAAAAACACTGGAAAAATATAGCTTAGAACAATAAATGATATACTTGAATTGAAATAGTACAGTTCAACCCAAACAGCTAAGATACATTTAACCAATTGCTGAAAACTGGAAAGGATAACATTTGAGAAAAAAATTGCAGTGATAGTACCCAATTATCTCTTTTGTTATTCAGGTACACTGATGTCCAACAGATAAATTTAAATGTATTCGTAAGAACGCATTTTCCGGAAATGTACTGCATAGAATGATTTCAAAGTTTGACATAAAGGAAAGAAACAACCATACATGAACAAATGAGACAAAACATTTAGTCCTCCAGTGACTCAGCAGTAAGTATGGAGGCTTACGACGCTAAAGACCTGATTTCGGTATCGGTGGTGGGCACAACACAAATAGCTCATTGTGTGGTTTTGTGCTTAGCAATAACCAACCAAAATATACATTTATAATGATTGTGTTAACATTTTCATCTACTGGCCGTCTTTTTAACAATTTATGCATAAACATGCTGCTAGGGCTTGAACGTTTTCAACTTGTCTGCATGGGACAGAGATAGAAATAATTACGACCCAAATTCAACGAAAACTTCAAAGTGTGATATAGAGCTCTTGCACTCATCTTAGGTGAAAAATAACAAATTTGTCTTCTAAGATCAGATGCTATAAGTCATTACATCGATGTGCATAGAAAAAGGTTTATCAAGAAACTGAATAGCTGTACAGTTTCAAAACTGTTACATTTAGCGTTATATATGCCACTAGCAAGATGTAAAGCTTTACCAAATGTTGTACTTATATGGATTGTTGCTACACAATGGGCTATCTGTGCTCTGCCCACCACGGGTATCGAAACCCGGATTCTAGCGTAGTAAGTCCGCAGACATACCGCTGTGCCACTGGGGGCGGATTGTTGTTGACAGAAGGAAATGTTTGACGTCCAATATAGTGGCGTTAAAGGAAACAGAAAGTTTGTTACGTCATGTGCAAGACCTCTATACGAGAATCCAATGCTTCAAACGTTACTGACTATTCCAAATAACTTTTATATGGGAGAAAACCCCTAACCTGTACTAGTTTGTACAATTTGTACCACTTGAGATGAGCTCATCCTTCCCAAAGGGAAACAGACAAGGGCCAAAATTATATGGGTTTCTAGCTGTTGGTGTTTGTAACCTTTACCAAAGGGAAAGGATTAGCACATGTTTACGACCTTTAATATTAGTTTAATTAACAAGAATTTAATATTACATGTAGAATACTTGCACGAACATTTAGGGAAATTACCTAAACATATATATATGATTAAAAATATATTCCAAGCTAGGTATGGAATGATGAAATTCTTAGCTGTTCCAGCTGTTACGACAGAGGAAGTCACGTGACGCTAGTAACACGCCATGAACTTCTAGAAGGATCCTGTCCCTTCCTGAATGCTCTAGCGTTTACTAGATTTCGGTATACTTTTATATATAAGACGGTCAATACGTGACGGCAACAATGTAATATGTAATTGTACTGCGGACAGAGAGAGAGAGTATTGTTGAGTCGAGTACGTGAGACGTTCGTTGTGAATTATAGCGTTTGTTATAGCGCGACTGTGGAAATTAAGTGTATTGCAAAGTTGTATTCAGAAAGAATAAACCAGTTTTATTTAAGAAAGAACTTGTATCGCCAAAGTTTCTTCGGAAATAATTTTTACGGAAAATTAACTAACGAACGGAGGCGTAACACAGCAATGAGACTTTCAAATGCAGAGGATAATTCAATCATGGAAAATAAACGAATACCAAAAGAATATTCAAGATATAAAGAAATATATTTGAAATGCTAAATATCAGTGAGATTTAGTTAGAACCCTAATATTTTCATTAGTAGAACGTATGGCCTAAAACTTTTGCAAATAGCTACATCATATACGGCACATTTCACGCAGCAGCTGTACTAAATTAAGAGTGTTACGCAAAACGTTCGGAAAAAAGTTACCCTACCATTACTCCAGCTCATGAATAATTAAAGAACATTAGCTTTCGTTAATTTACATAAACACGGCTACTTTCAGTGGGTATATGGGGCAATCTCTAGTTGCTAAATGGGTGAAATATTACTTTCCCTAAGGAGTATGAGATACATATAAACAAAATCTTGAGCCAGTTTGTGAAGGGCTAGTTTGCAACTAGGATTGAAATCTAACAGAAATTAGATTAAAAATGAAAGAATAGTAATTTCACATGAATTGGTACACATCAATCAAACTTTCCATAAAAAAGAGCAAAATAAAAAGAAAATAATTTTGCTTGTTTGTTTTTAAGCACAAAGTTACACAATGATGTGTATTTTCTCTGACCATCGCGGGTATCGAAACCAGATTTTTAGCGTTATAATTCCTCAAACTTACCGTTGAGCTGCCAGAGACAATAAAATAATCTAAATTAATAAATATTGTCACGAAAACAGCCATGACAAGAATGATAAACATGTTCGTTAAAGCGCCTACTGTCTAAAGGATTAACTTTCTTATCCATCTTTTCTAAATCAGTTTGTTTATTATTTATATTTACTACATTTATTATTAATTCTAAGCTCCTTTATATATATATTGTTATGATAGTTTCTATTGGTGGGCGGGCTCTTCCTTTATGCTTTTGGCTACAAATTGTAAAAATAGACGCCAAAACAGTAATTCCATTTATTTGCCAATTCTCTCACTCACCATAACTACCAAATTTGAGAAAATGGCAAAAATCGATATGACTAGCAGTGTATTGAAGTTACAAGGTTCAAATTAGTACTATTTTGTTTAAAAAAATATTTCCACTTTCTTTTTAGTCGGTTGTGATGTCATATTATCGGAAAAAAATGCAGAAAATGAGTAGACATCAATGTTTTCGTTCGTAGCTCTCTGAATGCCCCCCCCCCCAGTGGCGCAGCGGTATGTCTGCAGACTTACAACACTAGAATCACAGTTTTGATACCCGTGGTGGGCAGAGCACCCATCCCCTAGCTCTTGAAATATTTCACTGTTTGCTTCTGAAGAAGAAATGTTCACCCTTAGAAAGCGCTCGGTGTTATAGGGTATCGTATCTTTGTGTTTCACTGTTGAAAATATTATTGTAGGGTTGATGGGTGGAGGGCTTATGACGTCACAGTGAAGTAAGTCTCTGTAAGCTCGTTTTATAAACAGTTCTGAATCATAAGAACACATCAATATATTTTTTTTTTGCTGACTAATAACAACTTCATGTAATAAGGACGTATATCATTTGAAAGCCTCCCAGTGGCACAGCGGTATGTCTGCGGATTTACAACGCTAGAAACCGGGTTTCGATACCAGTGGTGGGCAGAGAACAGATATCCCTTGTGTAGCTTTGTGCATAATTATAAACAAACAAACAATCATTTGAAAACTCACTTTTTTGTATACTACTAATAATGAGTATACAAAAAAAGAGAGATAAAGATTTATTTGAAAAAGTAAGTAAATAAATAACTGGTTTAATTTGAAATGCCTGAAAGTAAGTGATGGTTAATAGTCGACATACACAACATTCTAATAATATTCAGTTCGTTTTCTTTCCTATAAACTAGTCATGTGTCTTTTAGTTATAGCAAAGCCACATCGGGCTATCGGGTGTGTTCACGGAGGAGAATCAAACGCCTGATGTCAGCATTGTAAATCCGCAGATTACTGCTGTCCCACCGGGGGACTCGTGACTAGTCATTTAGATTATATTATATGCTTCTTATAATGAGCTGTATCTGACAAGTGATAAAGTGATTTTTAATACATGTTGTTTGTTATTAAGCACAAAGCTACACAAAGGGCTATCTGTGGTCTGCCCTCCACGGCTTTTGAAACCCAGTTTCTAGCAGTATAAGTCCGCAGACATAACACTGTGCCACTGGGGGACATTTTAAATACATCATGAATGTTTGAGTTTGCCCTATAATAATGGTGTCACTAACGGAATGTATATCTACGCTTTTGCTATATATTTTGCGTGTTTTGTTTTTTGCATTTTACCCATCTTCATATATTGATATAGGAATATGTATATAATTTCTATAAATAAAAAAATGTGTACGATAAACATGACCGGCACATGGATTCTTAATTCGTCATTATTTGTTTTATCGGAATCAGAAAGTTCAAAAGACAACGAAGAATAATAAGTTTAAATTCGATGACGAGGAACCCATTTTGAGACTAATAATGCTTGGAGACGGCTTGAATGGGTAATGAAGAAAACTTTAACATAAGTTT